AAATTGGGTAAGCTTCGACAAAGAAGTTGGTTTCCAAGAGATGTTCTCCAGCGAATATCTTCATCTACCGTACGTGAGAGACCATGAAACCCATCCATACCTCTTTCTTGCAACGTCTTCTACAAACTTGTAGAAGAAATCGAGGAGAGAAAAGAAACGTACGAGGTTTTGAGAGGTAAGTTTTAGACGAATCTTGCCATAGGCTCAACTAAACCGACTACATCAACGTCTTCGACTTCCAGCAAATTATATACAGGGTATAGTGAATTGTACTAATAGATAATTCATCATGTTTTTAATTATAGTTCTCACATGGCGTTCTTTGTTAAATCATATTTCTATAATTTAACATGTGTTTCAATTACATTTCATACATAAAATTTCTTTAATAAGTCATGTTTTTTGCCGTTTAATTAGTCTTAAATATTCCACTCTAACTCTTAGGTAAACGGGATCAAAATCAATTCAAAATCCAAAGAAAAACTAAACCAATTTAGTCACTTATTATCTCCGACCAAATTAAACATACAATTTCTCAACATTAGCAACATGCGTGAATTCAGTAATGGTAATCATTAACTGTACCCGATCTATTGGTAATTAGCAAGAAAATAACCCGAATTAAGGAAGAGGGGAAGGGCTAACCAAAATCAATGAATGACATCGAAAACTTTGAACATTAGTACAACACGAGATTAACTACGAATCGTCAATGGTTGCACGTGAAGGAAACGACAACGAAACGAATTGATTACATCCTAGGTTTGATTAGCATTTGTACTTTGGTTGATTAGAATAAAAAATAATAATAATAAAAAAATCCGTTGGAAGATATTTGTCAAATAGTTGTTCTTTTTTATTATTATTCCTTTTGTTTTATTGAGTAATACACAAATGGAAGCATTTAAAATCCTAATAGGAAAGGGAGATCAATAAAAAAAAAAAAAAAAAAAAAAAAAAAAAAAAAAAAAAAAAAAAAAAAAAAAAAAATTACCAATTTTACCCTTTTATGAAAATATACCAGAACATACGCAAGCCTTGGCCATGGCGATGAAGTTTGAAAAGATGTTCCACTACATAAAGTATTTCGTGACATTTGGAGCAAAGATGGGTTGAATTTCCACGCGGGTTTGAATGCCGAAACCCCACAAATTCAAATGTTGAAGCGGAGACTTTGAATTCCAAAGCACTGTGGACTCTGTGGCGCTCAAAAATCCTCAACCATGTTCAATCACACCCTCCTTTTCACTCAGGTCGTCGTCGTCGTCGTCGTCGTCTTCCCTTCCAATCCATCACTCTTTTCTTCACTTCTCACCACTTTCTTCCCCCCTTAAACTCCATATTCATCCCCTTCTTCATTTCCCTCTCAATCCAATTCCATCACTAACCATTTTGCGACAGTCAATTTCCCCGATTACCGCTACAAATGCTGCGTTTATGCCCAACTTTGTATCCCCTGTTCTCTTTGTTCTTCATTTCTTGTTTCCCCTTTCTGAAATCTGAGCTCCCTGCATCTCAACGTGCTACCTTGCTTGATCTCTCTAAGCTTCTCGGTTCTTGGGATGTCGACAAGAACCCTAATCCATGTTCGTGGAAGGGTGTTGGATGCAATTTTGATAATTCCTCTGTTACTGACATTACTCTCTCTGGATCTTCTCTTTCTTCCGACAACGTTTTGCCTGTTATTTGCCAGATTGATACTCTACAGGCACTCGATGTCTCACAGAACAGCTTGAATCATATTCCGGGGGAATTTATCGAACTTTGTGGAGCGATTTCTGGGTTGAGATTGCTGAATTTCAGCAACAACAGGTTAGTTGGTCCTTTGCCTTCTTTTGTTGGGTTTAAGAGGTTGGAGATCTTGGATTTGTCTTTCAATTTCATGAATGGAAACATTGATTTGCAGTTGGCTGAACTGATCAGCCTTAAATCTTTGAATCTTAGTTCCAATAGTTTCAGTGGCCCTCTTCCTACCAAAATTGGAAGAGACAGGGCCTTAGAACAGCTCCAGCTTTCTAAGAATCAATTTCGAGGGACAATCTCAGAAGATATTGTTGGATATATGAACTTGACATTTATTGATCTGAGTTCAAATTATCTTTCTGGGTCTCTTCCTCTGCAAATTGGGAATCTCTCCAAGTTGGAGTTTCTTATTCTATCTGCAAATAAGTTCAGTGGAGCAATTCCAGAAAGTGTGTCAAGAATCAGCTCTCTTGTGAGATTAGCAGCTCACGAAAATAGATTTATTGGTAAGCTTCCTATTGGGATAACAAATTATGTCAAGAATTTAGATCTTAGTTACAATAACATCAGTGGTTCCATTCCAGTAGGGCTCTTATCCAAACCACAACTAGAAACTGTGGATTTGTCTCATAATGAATTAGAAGGGCCTATTCCTGGAGATGTATCTTCCAGTTCTATCTTGGTTAGGTTGAGACTGGGAAGCAATATGTTGAATGGCACAATCCCTGCAACATTTGGAAAACTTCAGAAATTGATGTACTTAGAATTGGACGATAATAAGCTGACCGGTGTGATACCTAACGAGTTAGGCGCTTGCAAGATTCTGTTGCTGTTGAATTTGGCTCAGAATAATCTGGAGGGAAGGTTACCATCACAGTTGGGGAATCTTCAAGCTCTTCAAGCATTGAGACTTGAATCCAACAACCTGTCTGGAGAACTTCCATTAGAGATTATGCAACTAAGAGAACTGATGATTCTAAATCTTGGTTGGAACTCTCTCAATGGTTCGATACCACGTTCTATATCGGTCTTAAACAGGCTTGTTAAATTGAATTTACAGGGTAACTATTTTGTTGGTGCCATACCTGATACGATTCGTGAGATGAGTTCATTGATGGAACTCCAACTGGGTGGAAACCAATTAACTAATCCAATTCCAAAAATGCCAGAGAAGTTGCAGATTGCTTTGAATCTAAGCAGCAATCGTTTTGAAGGGCTGATTCCGAAGTCTTTTGTTGGACTTACTAGCTTGGAAGTGTTGGACCTCTCAAACAACCAGTTTTCTGGTGAGATTCCTGCGTATTTGGTTCAATTGGTATCATTGACAGAACTGAACCTTACTAACAATCAGCTCTCTGGCGTTATTCCTCCGTTTAGGACTTGGGTTTTGCTCGACACGAAAGGAAATCCAAATCTCATTCCTCATACTACGCCAATTGATACTTCTCCTCTTCGGAAGAAGAGAAAACCGATCATTGTGGCAATCGGCGTTGTGGTTGTTGTAGCTTTGTTTATTTCTGCTGCATTCGTAATTTTTATTTTCGTCATGACAAAACGTTATTATAAGGGAAATGTCCATGATTCTGAAGGGGAAGTTCCTCCTACTACAATGGTTATTCAGGGGAAACAATTGTCTCTTAATGTCATCCACCGCTCAAATATCGACTTTTCTGAAGCCATGGAGGCAGTGTCTGACCCTTCTAACATTGACATGAAAACTCGGCTTTGTACGTACTACAAAGTTTCCATGCCTCGTGGATCAAGCTATTATGTCAAGAAGCTCAAATGGAATGGCAAAATAGTTCAGCCGGGAAGTCGGGATAAGTTTGGGAAGGAAATGGAGGTCCTTGGGAGACTCAACAATTCAAATATCATGACTCCTCTAGCTTACGTTTTGACCACTGAGAGTACTTACCTATTCTTCGAATATGCTCCCAAAGGCACCCTTTTTGATAATCTACATGGTAGCTTAGGAAACGTCCTTGATTGGTCGAGTCGATACAGCATAGCTATAGGAGCAGCTCAGGGTCTCACATTTCTGCACGGATGTGCTTCTGGTCCTGTTCTTCTCCTTGATTTATCAAGTAAAAACATTTTTCTCAAGTCCCTCAAGGAGCCTCAAATTGGTGACATCGAACTTTGCAAGGTGATTGATCCCTCAAAGAGCACCGGAAGCCTTTCAATGGTTCCTGGTTCTGTTGGCTACATTCCTCCAGGTAAATGAACTGTTGCTTCATATTCAAAAATCAAAACTTGACTTGGCAAGTCTATTATATCCATTGTGACTACTATTTTTGTTCTTATTTGTTTTTGGTGTGATTGCAGAGTATGCTTACACAATGAGGGTATCACCGGCTGGCAACGTCTACAGTTTCGGAGTGATTTTACTCGAGTTACTAACGGGAAAGACAGCAATTAGCGAGGGAGCCGAGTTGGTGAAGACTGTGTTAGGTTACCACTCTAAGCAGAATCAGAAATGGGAGCTGCAAATTCTGGACAACAGTATCAGCAAAACATCACCCTACGTTCGAAGCCAGATGGGTGCAGTCCTTGAAGTAGCCATTTCATGTGTGTCGCCTTCGCCCGAAGCAAGGCCAAAAATGAAGGCTGTCCTGAGAATGCTCCTTAATGCAAGATAAAATAGACTGCTTCTGCATACTATGGAGGACTGGAAAACGGCAGTGATAATCTTACCTCTAGTTATCTAGTGTGGGTTACCTTTTGAGTGTCTACTTTTATGCAAAATATAAAGCAATAGAATAGAAATATGATGAGTCTTAATGTTGTAATATGTTAGATTTTGTTTATTTATCTATCAACAAGTATGTATATGTATGTATATATAAGTGTTTGAAGGCCAAAGATCAAAGGAAAACAAGAAGTTTAGGGTTGATATTTTCATGAGAAGTAGAGTATTCAGTGGCTACATGGGTGAATGAGAAAATGAACTTCAAAATATGACATGTAGAGTTGAAAATAAAGAGAACAAGTCCTACACTGACCTTATTATAATGGGTTGGATAATACAACAAAATCCTTTCACCATGCACATTGAGAATGAGCTTTGGCGCAGCAAGAAACTAATGCAAGCTTGCTACCTGTTCATCAAATGATGCAAAAACTCGAGCAAACATATTAAATAAATGTAGCCTTGTAGGTGATGGAATAAATCTACAATTTTGTCTATCAAAATTGTGTGCAATGCCAAAAGAAAGACTTTGTTAAATAAGTTCATGAATTCCATGTGAAAATAAGCTATCAATACAACTTCATTTTCAAGAAGAAAGCAAAAAAAAAAAAACATAAGCAATTGTTCATCCTTCAAAATTTTGCTTCTATTCTTCACAAAACATGGGCAACACACTCGGAACATAATTTCTTACTTTCTACCACTTTCCGGGAGATTACATCTAACTCAAATTCGTGTGAAAAGATACATCAATTCATAAGAAAAAAAACTAAAGAGAATAAAGAAAGGGTGGTGTTTAAGATGCAAGTAAAACTATAGTGTTAGACCTTTAGGGTCCTCAATGATTTTTGCCAAGGTTTGCAAGAAAGTAGCAAGATCCGAACCGTAGATTACACGATGATCTGCTGTTACATTTACCTACAAATTTTCGAGATCCAAAAGATAAGGATTCATAGGCCTACTCTGAAAAAATATACACTAAGAATAATCTGAGTTTGTTACCTGCATTTGGTTTTTCTTGCCAATCCGACCATCCTTAGTACCTACAACCGTAGGGATAGATGCTCCGACTGCCATGATTGCTCCCTATATAAATTAGGCTCCTAATCTTAATAACTAGGCCGAGTGAAGGGTATATACCAGAGAGGTACCCTGGTGAAACAAAATGGGGAGATAAAAGTAGAAGAGTAACAATACTAACAGTTCCGGGTGGCAGAATTGCATCAAAACGACCCACACCGAACATTCCAAGATTAGAGAGAGTGAAGGTACCTGCGCAAGGAAGAGTCAGAGAGGGGAGAAATAAGAAGAGACTTAAAGTGCATATAGATCTCTGATGAACTTGAAAATGCAACAAATAAATTCATTCTGGTAAGAGTGGAATTGTAACCAAGCTACTGTGAAGAATTGTACTCTGAACACTTATTAAACCAAATTTTACGTATTAAATCAGAATTCCATCTCAAAAGAATGAACAAAATAAAATAACTTCGCCAGTAGAGATGAATGTAAGTGAAGTAACAATTACTCCATAATGAAACAAGTTTAAACAGTGAAGTAATCAAATAGTACCTGTGTTGTATTCCTGAGGTTGCAGTTGCTTCGCTCTGGCCTTGTCAACCAACTCTTTCCACTTTCTAGACAAAGAATAAATGTCCACCTAAAGCACAAATCAAATATAAACAATCAAAGATTAAATAAGTAACATATCATTTGAAAGACAACAGAAAAACTTAAGGAGTCTAAAATAACCTTATCTGCATCTTGAAGCACTGGTGTGATCAAGCCACCATCAATGGCCACCGCAACTGCAATATTGATGCTGCTATTATAAGTAAAGCTCTTACCATCCCTACAACTAGAATTTACTACAGGATGTTTAGCCAGTGCTAGTGCTGTAGCCTTTGCAAGTAACGCTGTCATGGTCACGCCTTTCGATTTAATCTAAGAACCATAAATCACCACCAATTCTTAGCAGGGCAAAAGCAAAATTCAAATTCAACCCTTTTCTAAAGACAGTTGTATCAATTTCGAACTAGGAAATAATTCTAACTAATAACATGTCCAACATTTATCTGAAAGGCAGATTCATAGCATTAATAAACACGATGATGGTCTCCCAATCAATTACTTTACCTTTTTGTAAAGAGCATCAAGCGCACCGGTCGTAATGGTATACCCCACTCTGAATGTGGGAACTGCAAGACTCTCAACCATGTTCCGATTCACTGCTCCTTGCATTGTGGAAAACGGTACAGTGGTTCCCAACTCCAGGGATGGCGGCGGCTGCACACCGCTTCCTGGAGCCGAAACTGACCTAGCAGCATCAGATTTCAAAACAGCTGTAGAAGCCGCAGCTTCAACATCCTTGGCCACAATTCTCCCCGATGGCCCGGTCCCCAGCACTGCCCCCAACTCCACATTCAACTCCTTAGCCAGCTTCTTCGCATACGGGGACGCCACAATTCTCTTCCCTCCTTCAGATGCAGGGTGAGTGGAAGCCACTACCACCGAAGCTGGCTTAACCACTGGAACCGGCGCCGCCGCAGCACCTACATTCTCAGGAATCTTCTCCGGTGGAGGTGCGGAAGGCGAAGAACCAGATGAAACATTCGCAGCTCTAGACTTAGCCTCAGAAATCTCATCCTCAGTCTCAGCCAAAAACGCTATTGCAGATCCAACAGGCGCAACGCCTCCTTCATCGACCATAATAGCAGCGAGATAGCCATCATAGAAGGTCTCGACGTCCATGTCGGCCTTATCGGACTCAACGACGACGACGCTCTCGCCCTTGGCGAGCTTGTCGCCCTCGGTCTTGATCCAGGACACAATCTTGCCCTCGGTCATGGTGGAGCTGAGAGCAGGCATGAAGATCTCGCGGATGGTGGCCTGGGGCTGGAGAGACCGCCGCCTGGGGTGGAATGGAGACTGGAGAAAAGGCCTCCGGCGGAGAGATGGGGAGGAGCCGGCGACGAAGGAGGTGCGGAGAAGATGAGCCATTGAAGCGAATGAAATCTAGAGAGAGAGAGAAATGGAAAATGGAGAGTGAGTTTGTATGAAGGAAGCTTGAATTCTTGAACTCATCGAAATTGGGGGACGGAGATCTCAACGACCTTACCTGCAAACCGAAACTTTTTTTTCTTTTCTTCATTTTTTCCTTAAAAAAACATGGAATTTATGGATGAGATATTATTTTCTTATACCATCCAACTAAATTATAAATAAATTGATTCAAATCATTATCTACTCACACTATGGTGAGGACCCAAGTATTTTTGGAACGATCGTAAAGATCATAAGATTCTTGGTTAGTTCAGGTTTCATGATTAGAGAGAAGGCCACACCAATTGCTTTCAAGAGCCATCATTGGTTAGTTCATCTTTCGACCAAATCAATGTCCTATAGAATTTAAGGATCTGGCGAACCAAGAGTTCTTAGAACAATCTTGATACGGACATCATTTTCGTCTTTGACTACATACCATCATATATCAACATGGAGGTAGATTACCAGGATCACCAAAGGAAGACCATAAATGGGGTTGTGAAAGCACTAAACCAAATTTTTGCAATAAATCCTATGAGTGGTAAGTGTTACCTTGCTTTTTCAATATATCCATGAAAGGCATTGGGTATTGCATACCTTTGATGTAAGCTTCGTCGTGACGATGTAGCAACTCAAAAAAGAAAAATGGATATAAGGATGTCTTATATTGTGATTTGAGAATAAGCAACTTTCGTGGATGACAGTTTTAAAGGAGAGGAGAATTTGTAACACTCGATTCCCAGGTGAGAATTAAAGGTCAAATTTTTAAGAATAAAAGAGAAAACTGCTCAAAAAAAAAAAAAAAATCCCCTCTGCTTAGTTAGTGCCCTAATCAATATTATAGAGTTAGGGTTTAAAGGAAAAAGAGAAAAAAATGATGGGAAATCGCTACAAGAGGGAGATAATTGGAATTTGGCCGAACTTCCTTCGCAACAACAACTCATAATGATGAAAATATCGAGTTTGGATGTTTGATTTGCTCAAATTGATCCAGAAACGATAAAGTTTGAGCGGTAATAATTTTAGATTCTTGTTTTCAATTTTTTCTCAAATTCGATGTGCGTACAAAAACAGTGAGACTTACATCTTTGACCGACTTTGGCCATGTTTATTTCATACTATAATTGATTATAAATTAGGAGGAAAAATGTCTTTGCAAATGTGAATTAAAACTCTATAATTTTGATGAAAGAATCAAGGTTGATTCAAGTTACCCAAAGAAATTTATGAAAATTCAAAAGAAATAGAAAAGAATAAAAAATGATTGAGGATTTTGGAAAAAATGCGCACTCGGAAGGGGGTGGAGACACGCGTCAGATAGCAAGTGCATCAAGCTGTGCACGTTTCACGTGTCAAGGGACGAGAGGAGAAAAGCGTTCAATGTATATCGGAGATGGGTGTAACAATTTCGACCTAACTTGCACGTCCATATCCAACCCAAGCCTCCCGCTCATGCTTCAACCTAGTTCAGCACCCGCGACCCAATTTGTTTGTCTAATCTGACCTGATTCGCAAAGTTGAGTCTACATGCACTACTTGTCGAGACGTCTTAAATCGCATAAATTCCAACACTTTCGAAGATTTAATGCACGTCACTGTATTTAAACTGTCCAATCCTATGCGCGTGGCACTCGTACTCAAAGGTCGCACATGGTGTACCCCCTTACTCGCACCTGGGGGCGTGTGTAGGGTAGATTTTGCTTCATTTGACCGTTGTTTTTTCATCTAGATTGCACTCCTAATCCTAATTTTGCTAGAATTAAGACTTATTAGAGAACTTTCATAAATTTTGGAGCTCCTAACATACGAAAAAGTTGGGAGACATGCGTCATCTGTGTAAATAGTCACATAAACTTTATGCTAGTAATACTTGTAGGGATCAATAGAATGTGTTAGCATACAGACATATCATAATTTAGGTGGATAGAATCTGCATGTTTAGGACTCAAATGGGCAATTTCGGATTTGTGAACAATGTATGTTTGACAATTACTAAAATGCTCCGAACAATGCATGCCTAGTTTTTTATGCTTTCCATTTTGCTAAAATGAAGGATCGAATATTGTGATATACGCTCCAGGGTGATTGATGAATGTTATCTCCCGTTGAGCTTAGCTTAATTGTATGATTTATGATTTTTGTGCATTGGGTGATCAAAGCTTTAGGTAATCAACATAAACATCTCTCTAAGTTAGGGCGCAAGATCTATAACGGTTTATACGCTAGATACTTTTTATGAATGTCAACTAAATATCGTAAGTAAATTACTCCCGATTATTCAAGGTCAGTATGTTATCAGTAGACTAAACACTCTAGGATCGTGAGCCATGATCAAAGATCTAGACTTGTGAGTACCCAGAAATTGGATTAGCTCTGAGGAACTAATCTCGAGCATCCTAAAAACACAAGATGAGGACAAAACCACCTAAATGCCCAAAAGACCTAGTAAACCTTCACGACATCTAAGTATGATTAGAAAACTTAATGGAACCCAAGACACTTGAGTTACTATGGAGTGTAGGGTTGTGTCGAGGTTAAGGTCGCATGTACATCGATCTCGAGGAGAGACTTGGGACTACATGGGTAGTTAGCTTTAAACAAGTACTTCTCTTGAGTGTAGAAATGGGTTAAGTTTGAAGCCTCGATCCCATAAACTAATCTTGAAGGAGAATGGAGACTATACAAGTAGATGGCCTAGGGTGAGTGCGCCTATTAAGTGTAGCAATAGGACAAGGGCAGAGGCTATAATTCCGTAAATGGGTTAACGATTAGTGTATCAATTGAGTAAAATACAGATCAAGAACGACGCTACTAATTCTGTAAACCGGTCCTGAAGAGGGACTAGGAACTACACAAGTATGTTATCAAAAGACAAATGTTTCTATTGAGCCTAGAAATAGGACAAGGCTAAAGCCGATAATCCAATAATATTATAATCCTAACTATTTCTTTTTTTAGTTGTTGTTGAGCAATGACTATTGAATTGTTATATAACATAAAATATAAAATTTAAGAAATCAAAATCAAGATTTGTTTCAAGCTGACAATTAGTTGATCTCGTTAAGTTTGAAGTTGATGAAGGGCCGAAGATTCTACCCTTCAACTATCCAATATTTTGGTTTGTGTGTGTTTTTTTATTTATTATATTTTTATTTTATTTTATAAAATGACATTTAATTTATAACGTAGGTCGTAGGTCGTTCCCAAAATAAAAATTAATTGATGATCTTAATTCAATGCTTCCATGTATTGGATTCAATACTTTGACACCATCCCACAGCAGGTGTTATAAGAGCTATAATACTTTGACACCATCTGATATGGAAAATCAACCCAAGGGAAAGTATGGAACGAATTACCTTGATGATCAAGATCAAGAGTATAGAAAACTCGTTTCTAAACTCGTGATTCGAATTACTCCACAAGAGGTTTGATCAATACCACTTGAATGATTCTACATGCAAGTTCTAAACACAAGAATTTGCAAAGAAAGTTTAGCTCTCAACAAAGCTAAAATAGAAATTCTATTCTTAATTCCAAAATTTGATGTCTCATCAAAGAAAATAAGGCTTTATAAAGCCCTTACAACCTTAACAGATGTGATATATAACTCCCAAATTAAATGGGCTAGTAAATGAAAAATACTCATAACCTCCATATTAAAATGGCTAGTTAATGGTGGAATATAGTAACCTATGTGGGTTACCATATAACCTTAACTCCTATATTTAAAACTAGCTTAAATATTACAAACAAATATTTAAACTATAGTTAAATAATACAATTAATAAAATGTGCTTATTGACTCATCCTTGGACTAGTTTCATAAATTCAGCTGAGTTCATTAAATGCAACTTAAAGTGCATTTAATTCATCTCTTTTTTGAAGTTCAACTTTGCACAATATATAAGAGAGGTCTCCAGCGTCTTCTAGAATTTCCTTTGATGAGCTCACCATAGCTTGAATATAACTGTATAAGGTTTGTTGTAGCTTCTTAGCTCTCGTCCTTGTAATTGGACCTTGAGGTATGGAAATTCCTTGGTCGTGGTTCATATCATTCTCCCCCTCTTGAAAAAGATTTGTCCTCGAATCAAAGCCATCACCTACATCAAAAGGACTCAAATCAACAACATTAAAAGTTGTACTAACACCGTACTTACCTGGTAAATCAATTTTATAAGCATTGTCGTTGATACGCTCAAGAACTTGAAAAGGTCCATCTCCTCGTGGTAAAAGCTTAGATTTTCTTTGAGTAGGAAATCTTTCTTTTCGGAAATGCACCAAAACCCAATCTCCTGCCTTGAAGATGACAAACTTATGTCCTTTATTAATTCGGGTGGCAACCTTGGAATTTTGTTTCTCAATTTGTTCTTTCACTTGCTTGTGCAGTTTATGAACAAACTCAACCTTGGCATTTGCATCAAAATTCACAAACTCTTTTGACGGTATGGGTAACAAGTCAAGGGGGGTTAAAGGATTAAAGCCATAAACAATTTCAAAAGGTGTGCATTTAGTAGTGCTATGAACAACCCTATTATATGCAAATTCTATAAAGGGCAAACAATCCTCCCAAGTCTTAAGATTCTTATCAATAATAGCCCTAAGCATAGCAGTCATGGTTCTGTTAACAACTTCAGTTTGTCCATCCGTTTGAGGATGACAAATAGTTGAATATACTAGCTTAGTTCCTAACTTACCCCATAAAACACGCCAAAAGTGGCTTAAAAATTTTACATCACTATCACTAACGATGCTTTTAGGAATGCCATGCAATCATACAACTTCCCTAAAGAACATGTCTGCAATATGTTTTGCATCATCAGTTTTGTGACAAGGAATAAAATGAGCCATTTTACTAAATAGATCAACCACAACAAAGATGCTATCATAACCTTTCCTAGTCCTAGGTAAACCTAAAACAAAATCCATTGATATATCAATCCAAGGACCATTAGGAACCGGTAATGGGGAGTATAAACCATGTGGTTGAAGCCTAGACTTAGCTTGTTTACATGCTATGCAACGAGCACAAACTTTATGAACATCATGTCTCATTTTAGGCCAAAACAATGTTCAGAGAGCATATCA